ATGATGAGTGGTGTATGATGAGTGGTGTATGATGAGTGGTGTATGATGAGTGGTGTCTGATGAGTGGTGTCTGATGAGTGGTGCATGATGAGTGGTGTATGATGAGTGGTGTATGATGAGTGGTGTATTGAACAGCTGTTGAATGTCCGTAACACGGAAGTTTTGCACACTAAACTTCCTTTGACTAGAGTTATGGATTCGGTGAGTTAAGGAATGAATGGTAGGATTATGTAGGCAATCCGAGGATTGTTGGAAGTGGCGAGCTCACCAATGAACCTTGACCATGTGGCATTTGACACTTCTCTCTCACTTGATCTCCAATGAGGATTGTTCAGTTATCTCCTCTATAGGTATATATATATATATATCTACCCGCCCAAAATGGTGAGATTCAGGTACTCCTACCCGCTTCTCAGGGTGAATAAAATCTCCACATGCGTCCAGATATGGACTGCGAACATGTTGATTCGTTGGTTGCGCTGCGATTGAGCTGCGATGATAACGACCTGACGGGACGACGCCTGCGTCACCGAGTGTTGCAAAACATATAAATAGCCTGTCCATGTTTAAAAGCTCGGATAAAAACAGTCACCAGCAACCGCAATGACATCTTCCTCTTGAGGAGTTCGGTGGAATCTTCGCCCTTTGGAGCGTGGATGACCTGATTCGTATGGACGAATTCCTTGATACAACTGTTCATGTGGGGGCCGTCTGAGAGTCAAGTTACCCATAATGCCTCTTTGGGGAGATGAACTTCAACCCCCCCAATTTGTTTAGCCTTAACTTGGACCTGAACACGCTTGCTTCAACTTGGCCAATCGTTCTTCGGCTGTTCAAACAAAAACTGCATCAAGGAAACTCCTGACAAAAACGCAACTGCCCCGTCCGAACTACTTTTAAGAGCGCTACAAACACAGCAATTAATTAAGTTTTACACTTTTATTCTTGGAGGCCATCGCTAGTAGGTTGGGAAACTAGGAAACACGCAAAAGGAAGAGAGGTGAAGCAGTTTGGAGGTATCTACTTTCCTACAGATCCTACAGCCCGATCCGACCCCAATCTTGCCAGCACTTTTACTGGCTCAGCGGCTCAAGGAGACGGGGAAGAGCTCCAGAAATGAGTCTGGTGCCGCCTCACCGGGTTCGATGGGGTGAACCACTGGGCTTCGGAAGAAGGCCTTTTCGGCTTTCGGACTGATCGACATGTTTCACCTGCCAAGACTATGGTGGCAGGGTTGGCTTTCAACCTAATAGCAATGGCCTCCAACCTACCAAATTTGAACCACATATATATATATATATCAAGGAGCTGAACAACATCAACATTCCACCCTAGCAACGTCCAGTGCAATACCCTGAAAAACCAACCAACCGATTGATGAAAACTCCGCTCGATGGACCAGCGAGACCGAATCTTGAGGAGAGTGTTACAGAAAAGTTGCGTTGGACCAAATGCCGAATAAGTTTGGACAACTAGTAACAAGTGCATCGCTAGTAGTAACAGGTGCCACGCTACTAGTAACAAGAAGCTAGTAGTAACAAGTGCCACGC